AATCGATTTTGTTTGATTTGTTCCTTCTGGTCGGCCATCTCACTAATCGCCAAAGGGTTGAAACAGGAACGCACACAACAGAGCACCACAGACAAACCACTTAACTCAGACTGACGCCAGCTCACTAACAGTCGCGGGAGACCCCCAGCTAACACCACATAGCAGCACAACTCGTAACTACAAAGCATGCGCGCGCAACAGGTCGTTTCCAGTTATTTTTGGGTCCCCCCTCGTATTTCAGAGAAATTTCTGGAGTTTGCATTAGATGATATGACCCATTCTTTACTTTCCATTCACTCGGTAAGGTAACTTGCTAGAGACTGAAGGATCATGCTTCAATTCCTGCCAAGGACAGGCTTTGGTGTTGGGCCCACCCAACCTCCTATTCAGTATTTATGGGCATATTTTCCTAAGGATAGGCAGCTGGGTCATGAAGCTGACCACATTAGCTCATCTCCATTTAATGCTAAAGTTAAGAATACATTAAACTTTATCTCCATTCCAACATCTTCTTGATGTACTTAAGCGCAGGATATGAACATTAATAACTTGAGAAAATTTAATTTTGGAGCCAGGATATGGCTATCTTGAAAGAAGTGCTTATGGTTTTCCTCAGTCTGTAGGCAAATACCAGTCAGCACATAATGCATCAGCTGGCTTTAATATAGCTGTCCAGTCATTTTTGAAAGAGAGAGTAATGTGTGTAGGCTCTTGATTTGTCAAGACTGCCACTAGTCTAAACAGTTGCAGCCCAAGTTTATTTGAGGACTGTCTTCCAATCTTCAGGTAGCTATGAAATGATCAAACTCTACTTTCACCGTTTTCTCTAGCTGAATGTTTTCCAATCTATATCGCTCTGTGTATATAAAGCCATGGCATAAATATAGTGATAAAATTTTAATTTGTGTTACATTACATGGACCACTTAGATCTGTCAGTTTGAAGACATAATTGAAATTTATATTAAACACATTAAAGAACATCAAATTATGAAGGTCCTGATACAGGACTAACATGTCTCAAGGGTTCAGCACCACTAACATCAAAGCCTGCTGATGGACATGATTCTGAACTAGATCCATCCATCTCCTATCCTCACAACCATTTCCCTAAGATACAGCTCTCATGGGCTTCATATGTTGCCTAGACCATTCTACTGAACCAGTTCTATTCTTTTGCCCTTTGGAAAGTTTTATGACACAGAATATCTTACAGGGAAGAGTTGTTAGCCTGATGCCCAAACCCTAGGTCAGTGTACCACCACTTATCTGCTGCCTAAAACATACAATAATTTCATCGTTTAGGGGGTAAATATTTGTAACATCTACAGTGGATTTTTTCCAAGAAAGTTTGTAAATCCCACTTTGAACACAGAGATTATCTGTGACTGCTTTAAAGACTATTTTCCAAGTTACTTGTAACTGTAATGTTACATAAACCAGACATTCTGGAGACACCTTGTCTATTCATTACATATGTGAGAACCGTTTCACAAAATACACATTCCTAATGTAGTCATAGTGATCAGAGTAATGGAACCTTCTTTTGGCCCCTCTTACTTCTATGAATTACCTTCTCCTTTCAAACACTACTACACCATAACACAGACTGTCTTCAAAAGTGAGTACTTCTACCACAGATGATGAATGCTGTTGCTTGTCTAACGAACTTTGATGCACACTCAGTAGCCTGTATCATATGTAAGCATGTTTACTGAACACAATCAAACCAAAATCCCTGTAGACCACTATGATGAAAATATCAAATGGAGACAGAGAGAATGATCAGACTGAGAAGCTGTTCTGTGAAGGAACACTGTATTTACATTGCATTTTTAATAGATTCTGATTTAATTTTAACTAACATAACATAAAATCTCTTTCTTTCTGATTACACTGCATTGCATTATTTACTTAAGAACTTGAGTATTGACATCTAGTAGCAACTCACACAGTAAAACCTCAGATCCAATATTACTAAGAATGAATCTTAACTGATACTTCATTGACAAAATCTCTTCACTACTTACTATAAGTTTCTTATCAAAATTAAAATAAAATCATGCATATTTCATGGTAACTTTCCACACAGTTTTCAGTTGCATTGTATTTTATTGTGATTATGCAATTGAATATTGTTCTTGCATTTGTAGAGCAAGAAAATTTACAAGCTTAATTAAATAGCTCTTCATGATATTAAATGCATCCTATGACATATATTTTTTTGGTCATGGCTAGAAACAAATTTAAAAATTGCTTTCCTTTTATTTTAAGCAAAACATGTCAACAATCCTAGAGTGTATCTCTAATTGCAGTACAGATTCATCAGATTCCATTAGTTTGGATTGAAGTTTTATTGTATGTTTCTACAGTTTTGACTATGTATCATTTTCATACACTATTTTCTTATAGCATTGTAACATGTACTGCATTTTGTCACATAATTTATGCCAGACTTAATTCAATGTATCACTAACTTCTTTAAGGACATTCTATCAAAGGGTCTTTCACAAACACACACTTACTACTTAGTAACTTTGAATGTCTGATGATAAAGCAAGTCACATGATATTAGCTGTCTCTTCAAAATTTTATTTTAATTATTTTTGTTCATAATTTTTAACACTAAAATGCAGTGTTTAGATATACAATTTTAACTTCATTTATAATTTAGGAGTTGCATGTATTATTTCCCTAGCTACTTTCAGAATATTCCTGTAAACATGTTTCAAATCCAAATATAAAATACGAAAGGGTGAAATATTATTTGTATATTCAAAATATACTTCCTGTAACACTGGAAGTATAGTTCTTATTCGTTACTGTAGTCTTCAGCTGAACAAGTAAATTATAAATGGATAAATCATGGGAGAAAATACAATACATCTGTTTGTCTTAAATGTGTATAATATTATATTTAAGCATCCTGTTGCACTCTACACGATAAATGATACAAAATCCGTCCCAAGTGCAAACAATATATATTATATGTCCTTGATCTTGTTCTCCTCTACACTACATGTTTCGGCCTCTAACGGCCATCATCAGGTGTATACTCTTACGTTACTGCCACACTGAACCCAGTCTAAAATTTAACATTTAAAAAACACATTGTTATTTCTTCGTTATTATCAACATCTACCTCGTTGATATCTGTCTGGTATGAAGATTATTTTGCACATGTCAATTTTGATTTTTCTGTACTAGCACTATAAAATCTTTAGTTATAATTTTAAAATCCTTTAAAAATTATAACTAAAGATTTTATAGTGCTAGTACAGAAAAACCAAAATTGACATGTGCAAAATAATCTACATACCAGACAGATATCAACGAGGTAGATGTTGATAATAACGAAGAAATAACAATGTGTTTTTTAAATGTTAAATTTTAGACTGGGTTCAGTGTGGCAGTAACGTAAGAGTATACACCTGATGATGGCCGTTAGAGGCCGAAACATGTAGTGTAGAAGAGAACAAGATCAAGGACATATAATATATATTGTTTGCACTTGGGACGGATTTTGTATCATTTAAATGTGTATATTAGCTGAGCATGCTATTTGTTTTATTTTTTTCAAATCATAGTTTGAACTCTGTGTATACACGTTAAACATGAAGTCTCCAATGTGTCATAAATTCTAATACAGACATTTATCTCAATAACCCTTTTGTTTCAGTGCCTAAGAAAAAACTCAAAGGTATGGATACTAAGTTTTTGTATTGCAGCAGATTCCTAGTTATACAGTATTGTGTTTAGAAATGCGACGTAGCCAGTTGATTGATTGGTTAATTTGGTAAGCCTGTCAGTAGCCTGACATTTTAGCCATTATTATTATATATCAGCTGTGGCAGTGGTGGTCAGGGTTAACCAGTACCTTGCTGATATTTTAGATATTTGTTACGGATAACACAGTGTACGAGCATAGTACCTAGAGAGTGTTCTGTTGATGTGGATGTAGAATTGTTATAGTTTTATGTGAAGAATATTAGAACAATTTTATATAACTTGATAGTGTTTCTTGCCATAAAATTTGACTTGCTGTATGAAAATGTCACTATTCTTAAAACTGAGTTTAGTTACTCACATTAAACAACTTATATAAAAAAAATAAAAAAAAATATATATAATTTTGCCAAAAGAGAATAATGTTATATATGATTTGAGATTTTAACAGCAGTTAAGTTTTGTATTGTGCTATTCTAGGTTATTACACTCTGAAATCTGTTAGAAGGGTACCAATATTTTGGAAGAAAATGCAGCCCCCTTCTTCTTCCCTGATGGTGAAGGCAGTATGTTGGTCAAAAACACTGGTACTTGCCTATCAGATTACACAGCATCATAACCCAGCAGACCACCGAGAGAATAACTTTAACTGAGTACTTTGTTTTTCTGTGTGTTAATTTCCTTTTTTTCCTTATAACCTCTCCCTTTATTATCAGAATGTTCTTCAGGTTTGGTTATGGATAACCCATACAGTGTATATGGGATATTGCAAATGGTTGCACTCAGGGTAGAATAAAGAGAATTTTAAATTCTAACACACACACAAACTCTGCTTGTAACAGATCATTAAGGAACCTGGATATTTCTCCAATTCATGCAATTCTCTGTTTAACAGTTACAGGCACATACTGACAAAAATATTGCACAGTAGTACTGTATGTATTTATGGTTAAAACCAAATGTCAGAAATTCACTATTCGTACATTCCCTGCAGCAGTAAATATTTTCAGCTTTATTTGTTTTCTGCAAACCCCCCCCGCTTCTCTTCTGTCAAAATCTCTTACATTATTGTTTCCTTCTGCCACCCCCTAAAAACTGGAAATTACAAAACTACTTTTCATTATTATTTTGTATGAGTGCACAACTTGATTGCTAACTCTCAGAAAAATTGAAGGAATTTGAGGAAACAGCATGGCTATAAAATGAGAACCCTTATGGTTTATGCTCTTCATGTAGTGTAGGTTGGATAATTAAGATGATTAAGATATTTTGAACATGTAATAGGCATATGAAATTTATACTGTAAAAATCAAGGCATAATGGAAGCATAATATTATAATAAATCATAAAGAATTTGTCAGGTTCTGGAATAGATGACCTGGGCTAAGATAGAGTCCAATGAGAAGATTTTGTAGTGACAGTGAAGAATCTTTGGATTTTGTGGGGCTTTTGTCATTACTCCAATGACAACCCACTTCTTTGTAAAGTTTTGTAGGTCCTGAAAAGGACCGTTGACTGCTGGGATGTTTGGCCGGTGAAGTAGCGTGGCATGCGCTGGTAGAAATGAGATGTTGGTTGCGGTGTGTTGAGGTGGCTGAGTCAGTTGCCTGTCTGGCTGCAGTGCGGCAGTTGCCTGGTTGCTGGAAAACGTCTGCTTGCGGAGCGCGGTCACAAGAGTGAAGAGGCGGTAGCTACGCCAGTTGCCCAGTGAGTCGGGCATGACCACCGGCGAGTCCAGGCAGCCGAGTTGCCCAGTGAGTCGGGTGTGACCGCCGGAGAGCCGAGGCAGTTGTGCCTGGCGCAGCGAAGTGCCAATCCCTCTGAAGACCGAGCGCTGGCGATGAAGAGTGCTGATTGCTTGTAGACTGCTTGTAGACTGATCGTAGACTGACTGAATGCGTCTCAGTGCGTCTCAGTGTGGAGTGTGGTCGCTGGAGTGGAGAGGCGGTAGCTACACCAGTTGCCCAGTGAGTCGGGCATGACTGCCGGCGAATCGAGGCGGCCTAGTTACCCAGTGAGTCGGGTGTGACTGCTGGACAGCCAAGGCAGTTGTGCCTGGCACAGCAAAGTGCCGATGCCTCCGAAGACCGAGAGCTGGCGACGAAGTGTGCTATTTGTAGACTGCTTGAAGACTGATGCTCCTGGGTTGGAGCTGCTCCTTTTTATACAAAGCGTGATGGAGGAGCAAATATTTGCTGAGCGCTGATTGGCTAGCGTGCGTAATGATGTGGATACAGGCTAGCAGCAAGTGCTGTATAAATGCAAATGTTGGAGGCAATTTGATTGGTTAGCGTGCGTGATGGTGAAAAGTGAGCACTGTAGAAATAGCATGATATGTGGGATGTTCACACAATTTCATAACAGTGGGGGAATTAAATAATCAATACATGCTCTGGGTAGAGACTGTACAAGGAGCTACTTAGGTCATATTTTGTTCACAAATAGTGACTTGGCTGATTTATAAATATATTATGTATTTACTTTCTCCCAGTGTTTACATATATGTAAGTCCTTGAGTGACCATCGATGATTCTAAATTTCCGTCAATTCTCATGTTAATTTAACTAGCTGTGTGATATCAGCTTAAAGTATAAAGTAATGAACAATTCTACTATTACAGAAAATAAAAATAGATATACACTGTTCATGATAGCAGAAGCAGTCTTTACATTGCATCAAAATTTTCTGAACAGTTTAGGATATTTTTTAACTTGGAACTTCTTGATTTCTGGGTATCACATACTATCATTAGGGTACCAGTGCTAAAATCTAGGAGAAATGCTTGTTGAATGTTAGCAGGAAAACTTTCGAAAAACTAAAAAGACTCCTATGGAAGTAGGTGGTGAGGATGATGGGTGTTTGTTACTGGCTCATAATTGTGATATTAATAGTGCTGAGCATTCAGGCTTCACTATCACAGATTCAATGTAACACCACATTTGGTGCTGTAAAGAAACAAGGCACTGCTACCCTGTAAGGACTGCCACAGCATCTTTCCTCTTGAGGCTGCTACACAACCCCCAACAAGACTGAGTACTAAGCATTGTATTTATTGTTGCAGCTGAAGTTGGTAACAGTTTGCATGCACATGGAACACATCCAAACTGGGACAATGGCTCTATCACCAGAATTGACAAAATCACCATTAGGGAAACCTTCATATATTCTTGTTTATAAAAGCAGCATTTAATTGAGATGGGTTCTGGATAAGAAAGGTCGGTTTCAAAAATGATAAAATTGTTCTTGGTCTCTCAAAAATTGGCATCCACAAACTGAAAATCACAAGAAAGTTACAGAGCTATAACCAGAAAACCACATCAAACTGTTTCCTAGAGAAAAGGTCATTTAATTTGCATTATACTTTTTAATATGAATCACTAACATATTCCTCTTTATGCTAAATGTTTGTTTGTTTATTTAACCACATATTCACAGATGCATAGACCATATGGTATAAAACTTTTGGCTGGATGAGAGTGGTGGTGGCATCTATTAATTTACTCTCCCCGCATTTGACGGGAGTGATGGAAGATAATTACAGAAGCTTGAGACAGGAGAGTCGGCCAGGATTTAATCTCAGGACCCTGCAGATCTATAGAAGGGGTGTATGTTGTTTTATAATTTAAACATGAAGTTGAATTTGGACTTCTTAAAGCCTTGCAATTGGAAATTATGCAGCCAAGAACAAAGACTGGTTACTATTAATGCTGCTACTTCTTCTGCTGTATACTGATTAATGTGACACAATTATCAAGATATAAATTATTCTTAAGAGCAGTTATAAAATATAACATACAGAGTACTAATGATGATCGAAGTAGATTCTGGTGACAGAGGAAGGGGAATGTTTTGCCAACACAATTGTGCTGCTGTCACTTGCTGGAACCCTGCAGCCAGGTTTTGATAATGCTATGCAGGAAGTCTTCTTATATTAGAGCTGACATTATTATATTTCTGGTGGAATTAGTCATTTTCTCATGTGTCATAGATGATTTAGAAGTTAGTTGCCCAACAAATTTTATACTGTGTTATAAATCACATAAGTCATTGGTAAGGTACCTTATATTCCAAATGCTTAATACATTTATTTGTAAAATTGTTAGTGTGAATGACACACTTCTGGCCAAGTCCTTTTGATGTTCAAATCCAGGATCACATGAAAGAAATATTAATGGTACTATTAATTGTTGACAGTCACATTTTACTGAGATGACTTTGCCAACTAAAACTTGCCTTTTATTATACACCTGATATTGAAACAATTAAAGAAATATAAAATATTTTCATGAGTGCTCACCCACATAAATATAAGAAGGAACATAAGTTGTGCATAACAGGTAGACCTCATTTGTAGATTAATTATACATCCAGTTTCTTCATCATATCAAGAGTAAGTTTGTAAAATAAATTTTCTTCATAATAATAAATATTTTATTATTTAGTATAAAACCATGCAGTTGCATAGTTCCAAATTTTCATGAAAACCATTAAGCACCTCTGTAATTCATGCCTACTAATCATCGAAAGTTCTTCAGATTTCATCCATACCCTATCATTTACTTTGGCTCAATAAAACAGGTACGTTTTTTAAGATCTAAAATTTGTGACAATAGTACATTAATACAAATTTTGTGTCTCTGGACATTATCCATCGTTCTGTTTCTTCGAAAACACTGTCTTGTTTTTATTTAAAAACAAAACGTTTCAGAGACTGGATTCTATCTCTGTCCTCAGGTAATATCCTACTAATTTGGGCTCAATCGATAGCTAGACAGAGACAGAATCCAACGTCCAAAGCGTTGTGTTTTTACGTAGGTAAGTCAATAAGTAATACAAATGGATATAGAACTTAAACAAATAAGAGTACTGATTTGAAAAACGCTTTTGTTTCTCAACATAATCTCCCTGTATATTGAGGCACTTGTCCCATCGTTTCACAAGCCCCTGAAAACCAGGAGCATAATTTTTTTTGGG